GTCGTCTTATACACCCGGTCGTCTTATACGCCGGAAAATACGGTACTTGTTCCTTTCCTTCCTCCTGGAAGGTGGTGTTTGGCAGTGCAGAAAACAGATCACACAACCATGGATTGCCAAAGCACTGTTGTGAGGGGAAATGTAACAAGAAATGACACCAAACTAATATGCTTCTATTTTTAAATTAGCATGATTGTGGTGGGATAGCAGACTGGTGTAATAGAGTTCATAGACAAGAGCGAGTGCTAGTTTTCTCTGTGACAGCGGAAGTCTTAAAGCTACCAGTTAACTCTTGCTCCTACGCAGTGGTGCTCTCTAAGTGAGACAATCCTTGAACCCAGAGCAAAGGCAGTTGTGCAGTCATTTTTCACAAAATCACTCTTGGTATTATAAAATACCTGAACATGGGAATGAAATGGACTTGCAAAGGAACAATATGAACTTGTGTAGCAACAAAGGTCTGTCCAACAGCATTCATGGCAAAGAGAGAGAGAGAGGATAATTGCTCTCAAAGACACTCATTGTGCTGCTGCAGCACAAAGAAAAAGTTGCATCTGAGGGAGTGGATGGAAATTTATGCCATAATCAGTACAGTGTGTTACCTCTCCTGTTTGTAACACTTTCCTTGTAGACACAGTGAACTAACATAGATGCTTGTATCCTCGTCTTGTCTTTCCCTCCCAGCCTTACCCAGCTCTCCCTTATGATTATTTGTTGTTTGAGGGGGTTTGGATGCAAGGAATAGTGGATCCCTAATCAAGTTTCAGGGATGAGTTGGAGAGCAGCTAGAGTCTTGCAGAAACTGAGAGAGTTCCGGTACCTATTGTGTACTTCTGTTATTATCTGATGTTTCAGCTTGTATCACATAAATCAAAAGCAGTTATCTTCAGAGATTTTGTAAAGCTCTCTACTGCAGAGTTTGCTCTCATACAGCGGGAAGGGACGGGTGCATTTTGGACTTCAGATTCTTCAGTTTGCACATTTGATACAGCATGATTTCTTTTGTCTGCTAGATAAATGTTTCTAAGTTAGGCTGGCATCCTGAATGTATGCCATTATAAATCTCCTTTTTTTAATCATTGCAGAGCTCAGAATTTTCTATAGACCTCACACAATGACCAAAATTACTTCTGGACTCACCTTTTACCTGCTGTAGCCTCCACTCTGTGGCCATTTAGTGGCCACTAAATATGGAACGAGAGGGGAGATGTATCATTTTTGTTGCTGTTGCTGTTAACCACCTTTGAATCAATCTTGACTCATGGCAACCCTGGGATAAGTCATCTCCAAGACTCCCTAATATCCACTACTCTGCTTAGTTCCTGTAAATTCATACCCATGATCTCCTTTATTGAATCCATGCACCCAGCATGTGGCCTTCCTCTCTTTCTTCTTCCCTCCAGCTTTCCTAGCATTATTGTTTTTTTCCCAGTGAGTAGTGCCTTCTCACGATCTGATCAAAGTACGACAGCCTCAATTTAGTCATCTTGGCTTCCAGAAAGATTTCTGGTTTGATCTGTTCTAGGACCCATTTCTTTGTCTTTTTGACTGTCCATGGGCTCCTCAGCACTCTTCAACAGCACCATATCTGGTGGTGCAGTGGTTCAGTGCCTGTACTGCAGTCACTCACTCATAAACCTCAAGGCTGTGAGTTCAATACCAGCCAGGGGCTCAGGGTTGACTCAGCCTGGCATCCTTCCGAGGTCGCTAAAATGAGTACCCAGCTTGTTGGGGGAGTTAGCTTACACATTGTAAACTACTTAGAGAGTGCTTAAGTGGTATAGAAATGTATTTGCTATTGCTATTGCACATCTCAAATCAATTGATTTTCATCCTATCTTCTTTCTTAACTGTCCAGTTCTCACGTGCTTACATGGTAATAGGGAATACAATGGCTTGTATGATTCTAACTTTTGTGTTCAGTTATATATCTTTGCTCTTTAGGATCTTTTATAGTTCTTTCATAGCTGCCCTCCCCATTCTTATCCCTCTCCTAATTTCTTGGCAGCAGTCTCTATTCTGATCAATGTATCATGCTTCTGCCTATATGGAACTTTACACTGTGTCTCCAAATGCAGGACATTGGCCTCTATTCAAGGCAATTCATTGACTATGCAGTGGCAAAAAAGAATGGTGTGTTGAATATGCCATGGACTGAAGAACCCAGCATCCTTCCCCATTGTCTTTATTCAAGCTAATGGGAACTGCAGTCCAGCCACATCTGCAGGGCCATTCCTTGTTCTATATATTGTGATGGTTTGAACCACCCTAGTGGGTAGGAACTTCCCATGAAACTCTCCTACCAGTGAAACACCCTCTGACAGTAGAATGGAGAGGGATGATTTTTACTAACCCCTGCTGTCTCTGGTTTTAAGGATTCCCCAAAGCAAGATTCAGGGTGCTATAGGATGGAAGAGAAGGGAGAAAAAATTGGTTACTGAAGCAGGAGTCTGCTATTGCCGCATTGAACTTTATCCTATGTATACCTCTATGCCATGTGTTTGTGTGAGAGAGCATCTTCTAAGGTTGAATAAAATATAGATAAACTAAGAGACTGGCTGCTAGAGGCCATGGTTGTTAAAATGCTAGCTAAAAAAGCAAATAGAATGCTGGCTTTTAAAAAATTACATTTTTAGGTTTGTCTTTTTCACTGTTCAGAGTGAAATACCAGCTTATTGAAGCAGGAATCTTTATGAGGGAGTTCCTGCTGCTGTAATGGTTTGAGCATTGGACTATGACTTTGGAAACCAGGGTTCAATTCCCCACTTGGCCATGGAAACCCACTGGGTAATCTTGAGCAAGTCACACACTCTCAGCCCCAGAAAATTCTGTGATAGATTCACCTTACAGTCTCCATAAGTTGGAAATGACTTGAAGGCACACAACAAGCAACCATATATGTATTATTGATTTAATTTTTGTTAACCATGTTAGCCAACCAAGGAAGATTTATCTGAAGAATAGAATTTTTATTTTATTTTATTTTATAATCTCTTATTTCCACCAAAATAAATAAATAAGCAAGGAAGCTGGAGAAATTACTTTTGGGGGGATGGACACTCAGAATCCCCCATCCAGCATGGGCAGTGCTGACTGGAGGGCCCTGGAAGTTCTAGTTCAAAGATGTAACTTTTCCTAAGTGGCTGGATCCATTAAAAGCCCTCATTACACACACTTTTTTATACAGGGTGAGAAAAAAATCTTTGCTGACTTGTCACTAGAGTTCTTTATGTC